ACATGGTACACATACCCTTTGTGTTCCAAATTAAAAAACTGGTGGGACTTTAACTAAATCGGCCCTGTTTGGGATAGGGCCCCAAAAATGAATAAATATTTATGCATGTATGCAGTGCTCGGATGGAACCACAGGAGGGCAGTATGTCAATAGACTGTCAGAGGGAAAAAAACGAAAAATAGAAGAGAGCTGGAACTTCAACAGGGAAGCAATGCAGGAGCCCTTCCACGCAGCATATAACCCAGAATATTAAGGCAGAATAACCCATAATATGTGCTTTTAATTGGAATATCTGAGTCTACACTGCCATATATCCCAGTTCAAAGTAGATAATGTGGGATTTTATTTAGTTGTGTAGAAGGTTCCTAGGATGGGCATGGTCAAACTTCGGCCCTTCGGGTGTTTTGGTCTTCAACTCACACAATTCCTAAAAGTGTAAACTGACTGAGATTTCTGAAAGTTGAAGTCACAAACACATGGAGGGCCAAAGCTTGCCCATACCTGGTTTAGGCGGACCAAAGTGTTGCAACGGAGACATTCTATGGGTGGCCTTCTCAGAAGTGGGAGGTTAGGAGGGGAGAAAGGAGCCCTTAAGCTGACAAAACTTGAGTAATAACCAAGTTCTTTACAGAATCATATATTCAGAAAATGCCTTCCCAGGCAATACAGGGTATGTAAAATAGTTTTACATAAATGGCACCATTTTATTACACCATTGTTATATGATGGAGTTTCAGCATCCACAGATACATATTAGTGCAGTCTATTGCCATCTGGCTTATTCAGTCTCTTAATATCAAAGGGGTTGTGTCAGCTGGAAGGCAGTTGCCTCAATCAACTTCACTAATTAGTTAGTTGGATTACATGACACCTAGGACATTGGAAGTGCTGCAGATATGAATATGTCAAAAAGTGTGTGTATGGAGGGGAAAGAGAAGGTTGCTCCAACAATTAAATTGTGGGGAGGGCAGGTAAAGGAATGACCTGGCTTTTTCAGCACTTCACAGCTATCCTTCTTAATTGTTTACAAGTATTAGTACTGGGCGAGTTAATCATATGATGCTTCTCGGGGTTGTATTTGTATAATAGAGAACAAAAATATGGGGGAAAATTTTTGAGGAAAATATTATACTTCTTATATAGCTTATAGATGCTGTCCAAAGATAGCTTGATATATACAGTTATATTTATATAATCATAGTTCTGTGGAGGGTAATTCAAATAGAAGAAAAATTCACTGTTCCTATAATTCAGCAATGCATTTCAAAACTACAATAACAAAGTTGTCAAGTATGTTTAAGAAAAATGGCCAAAGTCATGATAGTATTTTTACTGAATGTCTAATATCTGTGCCATTAGTTCTGGGCTGATTTCTTTCCTACTCACCATGCTTTGTGCACAGCTTATAAATCTCTTTTCATCAGCTTATATGACTTTTGTAAAGCAAGCCTAACATAATATAAGGCAGAATGAAAGAAAGTCAGTGAAGGTCGAAGAGGCAATCAAATTATTACAGATTTCTCAGTGAACACTAATGGACCTTCGTAATGTGATTAGTTGTGAATATCTGTGCCCTCATTCACAAGGGGGCATTTCTAGTAAAAGTATAGTATATTCTTTGCTCAATTTGGATTGATTTAGCTAAATTGTGTTTTGCAGGGTCTGATGACTAACTCCCATGTTAAAGTTTCAGTTTCAATAATAGTAATATGTTAAATTACTGAAGAGTAACAATTGCCATTATCTCTTTGCCATGATAAGGTTCTGATGATGCTTCTAAGCAGCACCAATTTTTCAGGTAAACAAAATGTAGCAGTTAAAAGGTTTTTAATTGGGTGAACAAAGGGGGTAATTGCACGGCCTAAGAAGCCTTAATGTATAATTTTAAATTTATATCCTGCAACACATAATTTGTCTTGTTAAATTGATCTCTTTGACCCATGTTGTTTCAGCTTTACACAACATGGGGCACATTTGTGTTTTAGCTGTTCTTGTTTCATTTGCTATATTGGTGACAGATTTGTCTTGATCTTAATGGATGTAATGGTTCTGGATGCAGTTGTACTATCTTTGGAAAATAAAGTTCGTGATATGTTTATGCTCTTAAATCAAGCCTTTTCTGAGTGATCGCACTGGTACAAATGTGTACTGCTGATTTTTCAGCTAATGGGAACATGAAAAAAATCAGAATATAAATAGTTCATATACATAAGTGCATAATAACCCTTGCATTATTGTGAGTATTGCTCTTGGACTGAAACACCAGCCCTGGCTAAGTATGTTCTGATAGCCCCTAGTTTAGATCTCTACCCAAGATCTTGTTGATATTAATCTGGGAACTACTTCTGATACCAAATGCAATGACTGGTACATTAACCAGAATAGCCTGTTAGGACTTAGGAGACAAATTGCAGCTGCCTTCTAAAGAGTGAACAAGGTTTTAAAATCTAAAAAAAAAATCCAGGCAAAAGTGTTTATGAAAAAAAAAACTTCGGATAATTGGGGACTTATCAATCTTTCTGCTGCTCTTCCTGAAAACTTCCAAGAATAGAAAGAAAGCATTTTCCCATTTGTTTTGTACAGAAGGGCAGTTGGGGCAATCAGGGCTTGTGAGCTGGTGAATTACTTTAGTTATCAATGTGTGACCAATGAGTAATCTCTGACCATTCTTCCTAGTGGTTTTCAAGTCAGATATCTATAAATATCATCTGACCATCACAAAATGACAAATACGTCTTTGCAATTGATGTAACTTCTTTTATTAACTTCTTATGATTCTATTCTGCCTGATGAGGCTGACTGAGAACAAAGTGCCCTAACTCATACCACAGCCATGTTTTTATTGTTCAATTCTCATGTTGATTTTATTAATTCACTATGTTATTTATGGAACCTATTACTTGTTTTAACGATTACTGTGTTATTTGTGAATTTTTAATTGCTTGTTTTAATTGTTCTTCCACTGCTGTTTATTTCTACTTTGTGTTTGTCTTTGGAAGCTGCCCTTTGGGGAGAGAGGGTGGGTTATAAATAAAGTTGTTGTTGTTGTTGTTGTTGTCGTCATCGTCAAAGAGATGAACAATCATGAAATCAATTGCCATGTGACGGGCAAATTTAAAAAGAATTTGCGGCAATGTACCCTTGGCTTTTCTGCAAAAGAAACCATTACATTGGCAACTTCCTCGATTATTAGCTTCCCTTTATATCAGTCTCTGCATTCATTAACACAAATCAGAGTTAAAAAAAGAACCCGGTTGAAGCTCTCAAACTATAGTCATGGGAAAGAATGATGATGTGTTGAAATATCTAGTGAAATCTCTTGGCACTTTACTAAGCACTACTGAATTAACATACCTATACTGTATCTGAACTGAAAAAATACATTAATTTTTAATATTAGGGTGGCAAGGAATGCTGACACGGAGATTGCTGTTGCTGACTAAGGATACTTTACTGGTTTTCTTTACAGATTAAACTAATCTTGTAGTGTATAACTTTACAGCTGCTGGGAAGGAAAAGAATTTCAAACTGCCTCGAAGATCTCAAATTTTATGTATTATGTTTGAAAGTAATACTATTGCATCTCAAAAAACCTAACAGGAATGTAATTTAAAACAATATGGGCATCTAGGAATACCCTTTCGTCTCTAATGCAGAATTAATATCAGTAGCACCTCCAACCAAAAAGAGGTTACTCACCAACTTGTTCAGATTGTATAACACAAGACAATATGATTCCTCTGATGTGAAATTTAACTGAGGATTGGTGTTCTTAAATCTTAGAATAATAATAGAGTTGGAATAGACCACGTGGTCCATCTAGTCCAACCCCCTGCCATGCAGGAAAAACACAATCAAAGTACCCCTTGCAATCTGCCTGGTTTTACTTTTGCCGAAAGATTTCTGTTTCAAGGTTAGACAGATAAATATTCACCATCCATTGTTCAGAAGATGTTACTTGTTTATTGATGCATGATTTCTTTTCTAAATATCAGATTTCCTGGACATGTAGTTTTAAATATGTGGCCAACTAGTAATATATGTATTTCTAGCCCTTGTTCACAAATTATTTCCCTTCATCTAAACCTCTATGCAGTATTAGTGTATAACACTAAAGAAGATAAAGCCATTACTATATGAAGTACATATATGATATGCATGTGTTTTTACTAGACTGGGAAACTGAGTTACTCTGAATTTTGTGTGCCTGATTTTCAGAATGTCTTTAGTTTTCAAAACTATCTGAGATATAACCTAGTTTATGTCTTCTTTTGAACATTTGGGAACACATGAAGAATGTTTCTCCTGGTTATAGTTTTAAGTTTAAGCTGGGCATGTTTAGCCTGAAGAAGAGAAGGCTGAGAGGGGATATGATAGCCATGTATAAATATGTGAGAGGAAGCCACAGGGAGGAGGGAGCAAGCTTGTTTTCTGCTTCCCTGGAGACTAGGACGCGGAACAATGGCTTCAAACTACAAGAGAGGAGATTCCATCTGAACACGAGGAAGAACTTCCTGACTGTGAGAGCCGTTCAGCAGTGGAACTCTCTGCCCCGGAGCGTGGTGGAGGCTCCTTCTTTGGAAGCTTTTAAACAGAGGCTGGATGGCCATCTGTCAGGGGTGATTTGAATGCAATATTCCTGCTTCTTGGCAGGGGGTTGGACTGGATGGCCCATGAGGTCTCTTCCAACTCTTTGATTTTATGATTCTAAGTTTTGAACAAAGAAAGAATTGATTTTATTTTTAATCTCTGTAAATATGGTGCATTCTGTTTTCATTACTTCCTACTCTGTCAGTTGCTGGAGGAGAAGAACACTTTTCATCATGTTCATTTTTTACCTTAAGACCTTTTAAGAACATCTTGCTTTTTCTCTCATGCTGTTAAGACAAAAGAAGCTACTGAACCTGCAACGTAACACTGTTGATGCTGAGATGTTTCCTGGACTTCGTGGATTGCAAATAGTCAGTGCCATCATCAATTGCTCCTTTTTGTCTTTGCAGGTGACAGATCAATCTGTTAAGGCATTTGCTGAACACTGTCCTGAGTTGCAGTATGTTGGGTTTATGGGATGTTCTGTTACATCTAAAGGAGTCATACACCTTACCAATGTAAGTACTGTGATAAATTTTGGTAGTCCTATACATTTTGAGAAATTCCATAGAAAAAATTGTTTTGAAAAAATTTACAAAAACGCATATCTTCCTGGGGACTGTGGACCTCCAAACATGATGGAAAAGCTCTCTATCCCCACCCATGTGGTGGTAAGATTTTCAAACAAAAATATTTTCTGCATTTTTTTAATGCTGAATGGCTACTAAAACAGTTCTGGCAGCCACATGCAGCTGTCAGGGCACCTCTTGCCCACTTCTGTTCTGGAGCCATCCATGTTGGCAAATTTTATATGACTTGTGAATTGTATAGTTTAACTATGTGCTTTGTGAAGAAGGAGTTAATATTGTCTAGCCTCATTCAACAACATAGCTTCACCCCAGTTTCTTATATTGTTCCTTGGGTGGGTGTTGGGGTGGGAGAGTCTCTGTTTTTCCCAGATTATTTAATTGTATATCCAGCCCTCCCTGGATCCCTTGAACCTTAATAACTACAGATCAGTATCTAACCTTCCTTTTTTGGACAAGGTGATTAAGAAGGCAGTTGCCCTCAAACTCCAGGCAGTATTGGATGACACACATTTGACACATTTTGAACAGGCTTCAGAGCAGGATATGGAGTTGAGACTGTTGTAGTTGCCGTAGTGAATGATTTCCATCTTAACCCTGTGTGTTCCTGTTGGTGCTTCTAGGTCTCTCAGTGGCTTTCAATACCATCAACCATAGTATCCTTCTGGAATGCCTAGAGGAGTTGGAAATCAGAACCACTGTGTTGCAATGGTTCCAGTTGTACCTGTCAGGCAGGTTCCAAATGTTTGGGATTGGAGATAGCTGCTCCTCATAAAAGGAACTGTTATATTGCCATTTAACAACTCCCACAAGGTGCACTTTTATCTCCAATCCTTTTTAATATTTAGATGAAACCTCTGCGAAAGCTCATCCACAGACATAGAATGGGGTGTTATCAACATACTGATTATATGTAAATATATTTCTCCATGCCTTCAAAAACAGCATCAGCTAAGGATAGTGTGTTTCCTGTGACTGAATACTTGGAGGAGGTAATTGGCTGGATAAGGGGAAAAAATGAAACTGAATCCAGATAAGACAGAGGTGTTTGCCATTAAGTGTTCAGACAGAGGGATGGAGGTATGCCAGCCAGTTCTGGATGGGGTTAAACTCCCGTTGAAGCTTGGGAGCGCTCCTGGATCCATCTCTCCAAATGTCGGCCGTGACATTTGATGATAAGGAATGCTTACTACCAGTTTCGGTTGATACACCAGCTGCGCCACTTCCTAGAATACAAGGACATAAAGATGGTGGTGAATGCACTGGTAACTTCAAGTTTGGGCTTCTGTATTGTGCTGTACATTGGGGTACCTCAGTACTGAGTTCAGAAACTCCAGTTAGTTCAAAACATGGCAGCCAGATTGATTACAGGAACATGTAGGAGTGAGCATATTAAACCCATATTAATGTCACTCTGGTAACTGGTTGCCAGTTACCATATTTACTCAAATAGTGTGGCATTGATAGAGAGAGAAAAACAATTTGCCTGAGAAGCAAGGAGAAGCTTGTCCAAATATTTTCTCTCTATTTTTTTTATTGTAAAGGCTGTTTCAAGAGAGTTGCTTTAAAAAAAAACCATGCTGGTTGTCAGATTCTGGCACTTGCAATGTAAAAATAGACCTTTTTCATAAGGCCAAATAAATAGCTAAGTTGAGGAATTCTGGGGCTTGCAGTCCTCCTAAAAACCCTTCTAAGCACTTCTCTCTCCTTTTTTTTTTTTAAAAAAAGGCAATTTCAAATGAGCTTTTTTAAACCTGCTGGATGAGGGATTTTGGAACTTCTGTACAAAGGAGTACTTTTTTCTAAGCATTTTCTTTCTTTTATTTTAAAGTCTGGGAAGGGAGGGAGTCCCTTCTTATCTTCTCAGCTGGGAGCCAAGGAAAACTGTTTGGGAAGTATTGAAAACCATAGTCAAAGTTGCTGTGCAAATTCCAATGATGTTAGCAACAGTTTATTTTAGCTGGTTTGTCTCAGCTTCCTATTCACTTTGGGTCAAAAAGGCCCTTCTCCTTAGCCTCTCAACTGGGAGGCTAAGAAGAATGGCTTAGGGAAGGCGGGGTGGGGTGGGGGGTGGTTTGCGTCTCATCTGGGAAGCAAGGAGAAGTAGCTGCCCCCACCAAGCTGAGACTGGCAAACTCATTAGCCTTGGCTTGGTGGATAGGCATGGCTTCCCAGTGGACCTCTTTCAGAGCCATTCAAGCGAGTTGCGAAACTGCCATCCTCCATCAGGCCGGGACTGTTTACTAGCCTCAGCCTGACAGAGGAACACAGACAACTTTTGGCATGCGATTCTAATGTGCCATCAAATGTAATTCATATCTCCATTTTGACTAAGCAATTTAACCAAAAGATGCACATTACATTCCAGTATTTACTGTTGTTTTCTGGAAAATTACAAAGTGTTGGTTTTGACCTCCATAGCCTATATGGTTTGGGTCCAAGTTACTTATAGGATCACTTTCTCCTGTAATCTGCCCTAAACACTGAGGTCCTCTGGGGGACACTTCATTCAACCACCCAGAACTTGACTGGTGACCGTCACCTAGAAGACCTTTTCATTGGCCACCTCGTAACTGGAATGACCTGTAGAAGAGATCTGACAGCTAAACCAGCTGTCGGACTTAAAGACCAAATTGAAGGCCCATCTCTTCCGCCAAGCCAACTCAGATAACTTTCAATCATGAATACATTCTATTGCTGCTATATGCTTAATTTGTATCCTGTGTTTGGTGTATGTTTTATTTTTTAAATAGTAGTATTGTTATCTATGTATTTTATTGTATGTTTTTTTTACTTTGTTGTACACCGCCTCAAGCCTTCATGAGAGGCAGGTAATATATAAAATGTATTATTCTTATTCTAAAATCATCATCATCATCATCATCATCATCATCATCATCATCATCATCATCATTATATGCCTATCACATCTTGCTTGCTGATTTTTTGGTTCACATTACCATGACATGTAGGAGGTACATAAGCTACTGGATCATTTTGATCCCTTTTCTGAATTTCATGAGCACTATAATATCTTTTTGGATGTGTGGTGGTCAAAACCGCATATAACATTTTGAGTTTGGGAACCTTATACATTTGTGTAAAATCTGATTATGTTAGCAGTTGCTTTCCGTTTTTAAATAATCTAACATGTATTTGCTTCTTTCATATCAGATGCACGTAGATTAAGTTTTTGTTAAGCAGTCACAAAGATACCCTCTTTGCTAGTCACCCTTAAGTTTGGACTCCCATCAGTACGCATTAAAAAATTAGGACTTCAAAAATTCCCCTTGGATGGGAGACCATCAACATATGCATGGTAGTGCTATAGGCTATATTTCAGAGGAAGGAAATGGCAAATCACCTCTGCGTGTTCCTTTCCTAAGAAAACCCCATTATGATGTGGCTATTAGGCAACAGGCAACCTGAAAATACAAACATGCATCCACAATTTATCTTTAGCTGGATGCTCATTTGCAGATCCAATCATTTGCATAGAGAGTTTGTTATTTGCAATTAATGCCATAATAATCTGAATTTGAAACTATAGAAAGTTGCTATCTGTGTTTTATACTTTTATTTTACAAATCAAATACATGTTATATTTTTATATTCTTAATGAGGATGTAAAAGTCATGGTGTATTCTGCTTTTCAACTGAAATGAACATTGCTGGCTAACCATTGAGATTTCCTGCAAAGCTGGGCAACATAGTAAAGACTAGCTGGGGAGCTGTCCAGCAGCATTAGCCTGATTAACAGAAAGCTGTAAGGATGATACCTTAGTTGTGGAAAGAAAGTAGAATTTTGATATGGAACTGTTGTATCACTAGCCTGTGAATAGTAATCAAGGATTTATCTGATCAGTCTAGTTATCCATCTCTTAAATTCTGATAATTTATGGGGCCCAGATCCTTACCCATGCTGATCTTGATTAACTTAAATACAGGTTATCTCCCTGAGGTATGCTTTGTTACGTTGCAGCCAAATTTTGCTTCAGGCTCCTTGCCTTCTTTATTTTTCATTTTCTGCTATTTGTGGAGGTCACAGAACTGAGGGAATGTCTTGTAAAATATGTAATACTTCCATATTCTAAGTTTCCTTGTTTCTATTATAATTCTGGAATATTTCCTTAGGGATTTCTTCAAGGTGCTCTAGCCCCTTGTTCATGCTGCTGCTCATAGAGTTCTGCTCATATGAGCACACCTCCTCTCATTGAGAGGCTAAGAATTAAATACAATATGCCATGAAAATGTTGTGATAGCTAGTTTTGCTTTCATTTCACAAAAAAATTATAAAGTTACAGGGTTTTAAAATGTCCCCTTAAAGTCAATGTTTTTCTTTTTCCAAGTTAAGCTTCGCCCACTCTCTCCCAGCCAATCACTAACTCCTCTCATTTCCCTCCAAGTATCTAAGCTCGCCCCCTTCAGGAAATGAGATTTTAAAATGGATGCCCCCGGCATTCTTTCCAAAATGGCTGCCAAACTTCCAGGGCTTACATTTTTAGACTTTTCCTGCCCTAACAGGTAGGGAATTCACTACTTGCTTGTGTCATGCTTCTCTATCATTCATGGCATAATATAGTTATATGAATGCATGTGGTATTATTATTATCATCCATACATGGATAATCTGGTATTAATGCAGACAGCAATGTTTATCTGTTGTCAAAAATTAAACATTTTTCAACAATATGGAATAATGACACTATTAAATTACTCATATAACAGTGTGGCCTATATCCAGTGTTATTGTTGATGTCTGACCTCCAACACACACACACACACACACACACACACACACACACAAATCCCTTCTCTCAATCCTCCAGTTTTTGCAGCATTTCCAAACAGTGGAGTATCACAGTTATTCAGAACATTTTGTGGTGGTGCTTTGGGATTAAAGTAGGGAGGGAGAATCATTCCCTCTTGTTTCTGCTGTTCCATCCCTGGAAGTATCTCATTAGGTGCTGGCTATTGTATTATTCACTATAGTGAAGAGTTCACTGGGTTGTTGTAGGTTTTTCGGGCCATATGGCCATGTTCTAGAAGCATTCTCTCCTGACATTTCACCTGCATCTTTGGCAAGCATCTTCAGAGCTTGTGAGGTCTGTTTTAGTTCACTTTTATACTGGATGTATTAACTTTTTAAAGAGTATGACAACTTTCAATATAATACAATAATGTTCTATGATTAATATACCAGCACAGTATCTTAAAGGTGCTTTTCACCGGAGCGTCATACAGGGAGCATACCACCCCCCTGCTGTGTCAGCTCCACTGGCTGCCGATCCAGTTCCGAGCACAATTCAAAGTGCTGGTCTTGACCTATAAAACCCTATACGGCTCCGGCCCAGTGTACCTGTCCGAACATATCTCCTTCTACGTCCCACCAAGGAATTTAAGATCTTCTAGAGGGGCCCTGCTCTCGGCCCCGACCTTGTCACAAACGAGACTGGTGGGGACGAGGGACAGGGCCTTCTCGGTGGTAGCCCCCTGCCTGTGGAATTCACTCCCCGGGGAAATTAGATTATCGTCGTCCCTCCTCTCTTTTGGAAGGAAATTAAAAACATGGATATGGGACCAGGCCTTTGTGTAATCTGGCAGATTAACAAGGACAATGACGACAAAAGCTTTAGAAACAGATTATGATAAGCTGAATGGCTCACTAATTACAGAACTCGATGAAACGATGGCCACCAAGCTGGCTTTTTTCTATGAGATTTTATTGTAATAATTCAATGTTTTAACTATTTATAATTACTGTTGATATGTATTTTATTGTGTTTAACTGTAGGCATCGAATATGTGCCAGCTGGAAGCTGCCCTGAGTTCCCCCCTAGGGGGTTGAGAAGGGCGGGGTACAAATGCTAGAAATGAATAAATAAATTTTGGTATTGTTTCTAGCAGTTGTAATAACTTTTTTATAAGATCCTGACCTCAGGGGGGTTTTGCCACCTATTCCCTTGTTATTTTGTGTGGTAACTGTGATAAGGCACTCAGTTATTACTGTGCTTGTTGCTCATTAGAAAAAGTACTTCTCATTTTGCAGCTGGAAAGGATACTGGGTTGGATTCCAACAAAGTCATCATTAGAGTAATCCTATTGAAATCAATGGGATAGAAGTTAGTTATTAAATTCAGTCGTCCAACCTAAATATGGATCTGACTTGGTTCTGGGCCCAGCATTTCAATCTGCCAGTAGAAATATCTGCCGTAGCTCAGAGCTCAGCTTACTATATTCTTGCTGGCAGAAGCTGGGAAGCAGTTTTCATTGATTTCTCCTACTGTGAAATTCTCAATACCATACCCTACTCTTCTAGAAGACCTTGAAAACATGTTATAAGGGGGTCTTGGGAAATGAATTAAGGTATAATGATTTAAAAAAAAACATTTTCTCTTATCATTTGTTTCACCAGAAGAAATGCTGTAGTGTGTTAGAAGCTTCTGTATATCCTAGGAATTCTTGTAATTGGCAGTTGACCCAGTAGACTTGATCCAAATTTATTTATGTGCAAATGGACTGGCAGAAGGTAACATTATTGCCATCCCTTCCTTCCTTAAACCAGCTACTTTAGACACTTGGCAAATTTTTGGGTAATGCTGCTGAATTATGTAGATATGTGTGAGTCGGATATAGAAAACTGTTGAGAGCAACTTTTAGGAAGTTGTGCTGTTGCCAGCCACACCCAATGTTTACAGTTTTCACTAAGCTGCTTTAATTAGTGACTTGATTTCAAAAGTGTAAAACCATATTGTTTTAAATAATGATACATTGTTTAAATGTATCAATTTTGTTTTAAATAATAATTGATGTGGACATTTTTCAGGTGTTCCTGCTTCATTTTTCTTTTTAAAGAATGACTGGGAATTCAAGCATTCAACATTGTAAATAATTCTATAAGTAATTCAGTATTTAGATATGAATTACAATACCTACCATTGTATTTATTTTAATAGCTAAGAAACCTTTCCAGCTTGGATCTACGTCACATCACAGAACTGGATAATGAAACAGTGATGGAAATAGTAAAGAGATGCAAAAACCTTACTTCCCTCAATCTGTGTCTGAACTGGATTATAAATGACAGGTAACTTCATTATAGAAAAAGCAAGTTAACCTTTTGTGTTAAAATATTATTACTAGTTTATATTTATCAGAACCTTGGGAATAATGAAACTCAGAATTCTGCAAAATAGTTTTTAGATTTAATGTAGCTATAGTTAATCTTCACATTGAATATTTTGATGAATCGGATTGCTGATAAATCAATGCAGTGGGTCTAATTTTTCAGTTTCAGTTTTCTGTTATGTTTTTCTTTTTCACCTGTCATGTTAATGATATGTTGTATGTCACCTAGTTTATAACCACTGGTTATTATATTTGTAGCATTAAAATTTCCTTCTTAAATGGGAAGGTAACAGATTCAGTTGTTTTCTCCTGGAAACAAAAATATGTTGAATTAGAAACTGTGAATAGGATCAACACTTGCCCTTCTGTTCATTGGAAGCTCCTTGCATTTATGGAAGGAACTGGAATCCCTAAAACATTTCTGGAGATATGAGAAGCAACTGATGGTTGTAAGAGAAAGGAGAAAGGACAAGAAGAATTTGGAGAGAATCGTTATTTCATTACAGTAAAGAATGTCTTATTTATCAGACCCATGGCATAACAACATGTTGAGAATCCAGAGAGGCCCTAAAATACCAGTAAACTATGATATCAAATATATATAATTGTTAAAAAACAAACACACAATAATAATTAGCAATAGAAAGTCATGAAATAATTTGTTATTTCTTAAAAAAAAGAGAAACTTCTAGAAAGTACTAAATTTACATTAAAGCATCTTCAGATCAATTAAAATAGAGTGCATCATTGCTTTATTAAGTGTACTTCATATCAAAATCAATCTGTTTTCTGTTCTCTAACGATATAATATGTACCAGGATGATATGTAAACTTCAGAAAGGATTTCAGTCAGGTTTCACATGGCATCTGTGTAACAATTTGAGAGGGTGGCTAGAAAAAATCCTATTACAATACATAGTAAAAGTATGAACTCAATTCAAACCAATGTTATTACTTCTGAGTTAACCAATGTTATTACCACATGGGATTATTCAGTAAGGTTATGTGTATGCAGGCCTTTGAAGAGTTGCATTTACAAGTTGCTAATTCAAATCCTCATTTAAAGGCTCAAAGGAATAAATGTTTAGCCCAAGGTTAGACAAGCAGTGATCAAAAGGATGGGGGCAGAAACAAGAGATGGAGCTGTTTTCTTTTTTGCTTCCTCAATGAAGTAAACAAAAAAATAATGTTACATTATTGAACATTAAAGTTCAGATTAGGATAAGTTTGGCTATAAGAATGGATAGTTCTTGTAGATTTCTTATAAACAAGAAATAATAAGGTTAAATTATTGGACATTAATGTTCAAATTGGGAGCAATTTGTCTATAAAAATGTATAGTCCTAAAGAAAAGGTTGAGTAGCTATATTGTGTTCCCCTTCCCCTGGGAAAGGGATTTGTATGGATTAACTATTGCTCTTCCTTGGTTAGTTTTGTGTTGTTGCTCTGGAAAGCTATGTTTCTGGATGAAAATGTAACTTAAAATTGTTAACATGAAGAATTTCTGCTTACAAAGAAGTTCAGAATTTGGTTCATTTGAAGTCTGCAGATTATGGCATAATACAGTGTTGAAGTTCAGGTCTGTTTCATGTTTGGTTACATTCCTCAGCCTGGTCTAGTTCTAGCTCATGAAGTGGTGGATGCTAATCCATATGGCAGGAATTGAAATGTAGATGTTGCTGGTCTACAGTAGCAATTCAGTATCTAGAATGTCACACGTCTCGCATCCTTGCCCTATCTGAATATCCCATGGTGTGTCACAATACCTTACCAATTTTTTCAGAAAAAACCTACCTTATACATATTTTGAAAAGCAGGGGATGGATTTTTTTTTATTAAAGTTCAAATGTGAAATACTTATTCAGTATGCAGCATACTGCAGCAGACAGAAGACTGAATAATGAAAATAAATTGAGGATGGTGTGATAGACTGAATTGTAAAATGCTCTTGATATTCTAAAAACACAGATGCTTGATACAACTTGACTGCATTTAATTTTAATAGCTTTTATTTTAGCCAAGGATTTTCATAGTTCACTATTTTTTATTTTGATGTCTTACTTGAAAAGTAAAGTGTACCAAGATATAATGTACATATAAAGGACAATCTTCTTTTTGTGTTCTTTTGAACCCATCTGATGGAGTTATAATGAAATTGGTTTTTAATTTTTGTGTGTATGTTTTAGCAGGTTTTTATGTTTTATGATATTTATTTAATTTGTCTGCATGGTTTTCCTTTCTGGCAATTGAATGTTTTGCCTTGTGCTCTCCCACCAGTGAAATTACAAGAGAACACCACATTTTGGGTTAACTATGCACAACTTTTATTATATATTACCAATCAATCTCTGTGTGATCTGCCAACCAAATTTAAAGATTTAACATAAACTTGAACTTGTACATGTACTTGAACTTGAATTTGAACTTATACTTGAATTTGATATGTCATAGCACAAGGCAGTGGCCCTTCAAGACCATGTCATCATCCAACAAGAGTGAGACACCATGGTCCCTGGATGCAACCCACATGTTGCTCCGAAGAGGACCCCTCAGGTAAATGGGTGGAGAATTTAATCACACACTCCATCCTCCTGTGAGGCACACCAATATGTGCTTATGCCTAATATATACTTGAAGTCTATTTAGTGAGGTGAGTGGGGCACGTGCTGAGATTAGCCCCACTCACAACAAGTCCCTACCGGGACTGTTTGCCTCTCCATTCACTGTAAGGGAGCAAAGTGCTTCCCTGCTCCCATACTGGGGTTGGGAAAGGAAATATGTTAGAAGCCGCCCTGAGTCCCCTTGGGGAGCTAGGGCAGTATACATATAAAGATTTATTTATTATTATTATTATTATTATTATTATTATTATTATTATTATTTATTTTGGTTGTCCATAACAAGAGTGTGAAATATCAAATTTATTTTATTAAGGGGTTTAGTCACAAGAAAACATATTCTTCCAATAGTAATGAAATTATTCAAATTCAAAATAATGTTCATTACATTTTCATTAGAACTCAAATTGCTTATAGAATGAACACACACACACACCAACAAGAACTGGAATAATTAATTATTTTAATAGATTTATTTAAATGATTATTAACATTGCATTATAATTGTAACTGCATAAGGGATACCTTCATTCCTTTTGTTATCTAAGTGTTCATTTTTGTTAATTTTGTAAATTCTACAAGATGAAAAAGAAGTAGTATGACATGGCTCTAATGCTGTTTCCTACTATACCTAATGGTAGGTATAGAGGCAAAAATGAGAGATAAAAGTGTGTTCTGCCAGCAGTGTGTAGCATTCATACTTTTTTAAAAAAAGCAACCAAAAGTTATAGGTTTAGTTAATTGTGAAAAATGAAAACACAAATTTAAAAAATCAAGCAAACCTATAATGGCTGCTCATTATTTTAGGAAACCTAGAATTAAAACTAATGAAATTATAAACAGTAACAATTGTAGTTCATTTTGAGAAATAGAAAAACAAAGAGCTTTTAATTTTGACAACTCCCCCCCCCCCCACCACCACCATAATAGCTAGTCATAACTTTAAGGGGACTGCATTTATAACTAATGAAGTTATTTTAAACGGCAGTGTTTAAAGCTCTGAAGCGAGTGAGAGGAAATGATGCACTGCATTTGGCTTAGCAAATGAGTGCTTTCTCTGCTTTTCCTGATCTCTAGTTCAATCATTTTAAACCTACTGTGTAGAATAACAATAATAAACAAATCAAATAATAATAATATGCTTGAGAAGATTTTAATATCATACATTTATGATGCTCTTTAGAATCTCTACTAAGTCATTTAGCAGTCTGTTTGCCCATGCACACCTACGTATGCTAGTTGTATCCAGTTTAGCTGACATGATCTTACTTTGATTTCACTAGTTAATAACCAGTTAATAATTTTGTATAGTAGTGATATTGCATTGGTTGAACAGCAGAATCCAACAAAACTGGGAGAAGTCTCCACTGTAGTTCATTGTATATCCCGAAGCCAAGTCTGGAATATTGGGGAAATTGCCCAGAACTGGCTTCAGATGTTGTGGTTTGGATTTAAGTTTGAAGTGAAAGGGAATGTATTTTCCTACAGATCTGTTCCAGATCCAGAGGGCTTTGTATCATCTTCCACAGATGCCCAAGGATCTTTGTGAGATCCTTCCACCTTGTTCGCTCCAAATGTCACTATTAAAGATACAGAAACCTGCTGAAAATTGCCATGCTTTAGACATGTCCTAGTAGAAGTAGAATGTAGTACTAAATTTTAGGCACACCATATTTAAATAATTGTCCTCTTATGTCTGTGTCTGAGCAAATTATCTGTGGAATACTACATTCTTGTAGGTTTTTTCGGGCTATAGGGCCATGTTCTAGAGGCATTTCTCCTGACGTTTCGCCTGCATCTATGGCAAGCATCCTCAGATAGGGCTGTCCAAACACGGAAAATTTTGTTTCTAAACTCGATTCGTTTTTAGGGGGTTTTTGCGTTTTGTTATTTAAAAGAATTCCGAAATTTTCCTTAAAAAAAGTTCGATATTTACGAAATTTCGGAAATAAAAAAACCAATTACGAAACAATTACGAATCGATTACAAATCGATTCATTAATGGCGGCCGCGATCGCGCAATACGCTAAAAAAACTTCTGAAGCTTCCCTCTCCCTCTGTTGTTGACTGTTGGTGTGATAATTATATATTTTTTTCACTGAGAAAACAAACAGCAACCCTAAAACTTGCACCAGACATGCGGAAATAATAATGAAACATTTATGAATCAATAACGAATCAATAACGAATCAATTCCGAAACGAATTGGAAAAATTCGTTTCGTTTTTTAGTTGCTCCTGAATGGTTCAATATCGCTTCGTTATAAAAAAAAATAATGAATTTTTAACGAATTACGAAATTACGAAACGAAACCACCCAGTCCTATCCTCAGAGGTAGTGA